TATATATATATATATATATATATATATAAATATATGTATATATGTATAGGTATATGTTAATGCTAATAAGAGGACAAAAATATAAACGCGAGATAAGAGAAACAACAAATTATTATATTATGAAAAATTCATTTAAAAAGAAGGATTTATTTTATCAATCTCAATTAACCGTTATTATATCATTTCATATGCTATTTATATAGTATATATATGTATATATAGCTTATACACGCGTATCTCTATGCCAACATGGGGGGTGGGGGAATCTTGAACGCGAAATGAGAAAAATAATTATTATTAATTAATGAATAATTCAATTTTAAAAAAGGATTTACTATCAATCCTAATTGTCCGTTATTATCATTTTGTATGTTACTTGTATACTATATATACATGCATACGTTGATACTAATATGAAGAAACAAAAAGTAAATGCAAGAAGATGAGAGAGAAAGTACATTAAAAGTAGATTTAATATCAATTTCATTAATTATTGTATGCACAGGAAAGAAAAATAAATAGAAATAGAAGTAGAAACGGAGATTGGAATGATAAGAATCTTTGAACATATCAAGCAAGTAAATCATTTGAAATTCACGGCCGTACGTTTTTATTATGCAAGTCTCACGTCAATGTCGTTTGTTCGTCAATAATACGAGGAGGGTCTTCTTCACGCGATTCCTCGAGATTAAGGTCAAATGACTTTAGTGATCTTGGTTACGACACTATTGCGATGAAATTCGAACGTTGTTGCATTTATCCAAAAGAAGAAGAAGAAGAAGAAGAAGAAAGAGTAGAGAAATTGTAATAGCTGATTGGCCGATTCGAATCGTGGGCGTCGCGAATGTTTTCGAATATTTTTCCTATTCTTTATTAAGAGTTCTTCTTCTTTTTTATTATAATATAATACATATAAGTTTTTTCTTTTTTCTCAAAGAAACAAGCTGTAAAAAAGCTGTCGAAAGAAGAAAAAAGGTAAACATACAAATAAACCAACAAACAAAAATAAGAAATTGTCTTCGTTCTTCTTCTTATTCGCCCACTCGTTAAAACATTGTAACGTTTCACATTGTCAGTGATACTTTTTAAACGCTCGACAATTTCTTCTCTCGTCCGTCTCATTTTCAATTTTTGTTATTCTCATTCCCGTCCATTCATCCACCTTCTTTCACTTCCTCATCTCATTTTCTCGCTTATATTATTATTATATTCTTTTTTTCTTTTCTTTTCGTCGTTATTTCTCTCTTTTTCTCTTACCAACAGTACCGAACGAGAATTCACCCGTTTATTCACTCGATGAAAGATCAGATTATTTTGGATTTGTGCCAATTTATCGTCGAAAGTTTTGATTTACAGGATGACACCCGATTCTAATCTTTTATTTCTCTATTTATTCGTTTATCTTATTGCTATACCTTTTTTTCTTTTTTTCCTCTCTCTCTCTTTCTTCCTTTCTTTCTTTCTCTCATTTCACTTTAAAAAAAAAAAAAAAACATCCGCGACGAGTAAGACGTGTCTGTTTGTCTCTTGTTTGTCGTGTGCGTTCTCGGATAAGGATAAGAAAAGTTCACCTTAAAAATCTCAGACAACACCGGTTTCTTCTTTCTAAAGATTGGTACTACTACGAAAATATAAGACGCTATGAAAAATGGACGTGTTGTAACTCTCGTTATGCATTTTTCAACCTCGTAAAACTCGTCTAGGGAAGGAAGGAAAACTCGAAAAAGGAGAGTAAACAAAAAAATTATAAGAGAAAAGAATAAAAAGTATGGAATAACTTTCACCAAGGAAGAGAGAAAAAAATAAGAAGAATAAGAAAAGAGAGAGAGAGAGAGAGAGAGAGAGATCAAACAAAAAGAATCGTGTTACTTTTCAAGAATCATTCTATCGAGCATGAGTTAATCTCTAAGGAATATCCTAAGATCAATGAAGGTGTTATTTTTCTTTGATACTACAGTGGAATAGAGAGACTAGTTTGTTAAATGTCAACTTTCGATGTGGCTACGTACATATGTATGTGTGTATAATGTATATATGTATAAGTATATAACGTAAGAAGCATATATCTTTTTAATAGGTCAAACAACGTTCCCTCTTCCGTGTATTATACTTTATCCGAAAGATAGCAGGTTCTTAATTACACTTTAAGACCTTTAAAACTCGTATTTTACCTCTTGAAATAAAAACAATAGCTGCTTTTTTTTTAGCATATATTTTTAATTTATTACTTTGTAAAAAATAAAGAAAAATAAGAAAATAGATCTTAAGGTAATGATAATATAAAATTATAATTAGCTCTCTTAAATCTTAACGATAGGGGGATGCAAGCAATTTCTTACGAGTAGACATGCGAGAAGAGAGGAGAATATTGAAGACAAAAAGAAAATAGATATCGGGGTTTTAAAGGATTGAACAAGTTTTCTGTCGATCCTTCTATTCGATGTCTTCTTCTTCTTCTTCTTCTTCTTCTTATCCATTGGAATCAAAGACAGAGTAAGTCGAGGACGACAAGGAAAATTGAAGAAGGCTCAGAGGTATTATAAAAGAAAATCGATTGGCTATTACTCTATGTCTCTCCTTCGTAAAGTGTCTTCCAAGAGGTCGTTGAACTTTTCCTTGCCCACTTTTACGGATGATCTTTGAGAGATCTTCAAATCACACTTTATAGAACAAAAAAGTGTTTAGCTCGCTAAAGCCTCGCCTCCCCCTCCCCCTCCTCCTCTTCCTCCTCCTCTCCTCAATATACTTTCTCAACATGTTGCTATGCATGCATCGATATTTAAATTTCATGAAAATTGCATGGAATTTCAATTTGTTTCGACGTTTAATGATTTTGATCATTAGTTTCTCATGTGATATCAACGTTGATTAAAAT